GGGGTCCCGGCGGGCCACGACGGAGGGGGCGTGATCGGCAACTTTCGTGTACCCCGGACCAGCGGTATGTGGACGGGCTTACTTCTCCGCCCCTTTCCATACATGCATAGATCAGGTGCTGGACTGCGGGGGGGTTGGCAGTCCAAGGGAAGGAAGAGCGGTGATGGTTGCTGGGAGTGGCGGGATGGTCGACGAACAAGTGTGCGCCCACTTGGTCTGTTTCACCTCGACGCTGTTCCGTTCGGCTGGAGGCATATCGTGATGTGCATGCCAACATGCCGAGCTCCCTGGTTCAGGTAAGATGATTCGGAGTGCGAGGACCAAGTATAAAAGAGGGAGCAGACAGGACTTCATCAACCCCCTCGTGTAGGTGATAGTGCTTCAAGCTACCGAATCACCTGACTATCTTCGCAACATGAGATTCCAGAACGTCCTCGCTCGGGCCGCGACCCTCGCCCTCGCGGGCCTCGCCGCCGCAGAGAAGCGCCAGACCCCTCCCAACGGCGCCATTGTCGTGGCACTCTCTGGCGGTGACTTCACTACGGTACGTACCCGCAGCCCAGCAGAGCCTCACAGAAAGCAGTCTCGCCTGGGTGACCGCCATGCTAACGAGGACCAACAGCTCCAAGACGCCGTGAACTCGATCAAGTCGTCCACGACGCCGTCGACCATCTTCATCAAGCCCGGCACCTACACGGGGCAGACGAAGATACCGAAGCTCGCGGCGGCGCTGACGATCCAGGGCTCGACGCCCAACCACCTCGACTACGCCCGGAACACGGTGGTCCTGACCAACGCGCTCTCGGCCGTCCAGGCCGGCAGCAACGACCTATCGGCGACGCTGAGCGCCAAGGCGCACGACCTGCGCGTCTACAACGTCAAGATCGACAACACGTTCCCCGTCGGCAAGCCGGGCAGCCAGTCGCAGGCGCTGGCGCTGTCGGCCAACGGCGTGCGGCAGGGCTACTACGGCGTGCAGCTGACGAGCTACCAGGACACGCTGTACGTCAACAAGCCGGGCCTCGTCTTCAAGGACAGCTACATCGAGGGCGCCATCGACTTCATCTTCGGCAACAAGGGCAACGTCTGGATCGAGGACTGCGACATTGCCGTCGCCGGCAAGGGCTGGGTCACGGCCAGCGGGCGGTCCACGGACGATAGCAACTGGTACGTCCTCAACAAGGCCAACATTACGGCCAAGAGCGGCGCCAACGTCGCCCCCGGCGCCAGCCTGCTCGGGCGCCCGTGGAAACAGTACGCGCGCGTTGTCGTGCAGAACTCGGCCCTCGGCAGCGTTATCGGCCCTGCCGGCTGGTCCACCTGGGGGAGCGACCCCGTCACCAATGTCTTTTTCGCCGAGTCCGGTAACACGGGCGACGGCGCCAAGGGCCCGAGAGTCACCTGGGCCAAGACGCTGGGCACGCCAAAGAAGATTGAGGACATCATGCCGGACTGGAAGTCGTGGGTTGACCAGGACTACTGGAATGCTTGAGCGTGGTGGTTCTCTGTCCATAGCTAGGTTCTCACCGTTCATTGCGCAACGCGTGGTTTCATGCGTAGTCTTCCCGGAGAGAATACAAGTCAAATCTCGCAAATATGCTTGATGTTGTTCAGCGTCTAGTCCACAACATAGAGAAGACAATGGAAAGACACCGCAAAGCACAGGGTATATCCGTCTCGTTTGCTACACGCTCTTCCACACCCGCTTCCACAGAGAAGGCTTCACTCCTTCTTCCCTCTCAGCCTCTCTCTCCCTCGTGGGCTCGAGATCGCGCCTCCTGCCTGACATGAGATCAATGTCCTCGAGGCGCCAGTATGTCGTCTTGTTCCACCACTTGTATCCAAAGTAGATGATGGCAAACAGCGGCAGCAGGATGTATGCATCGACAAAGCCGCCGGCATCAAACGGCGACAGATTCGTCCAGCCCTGCACAAGAGCCAGGAACATGTTGGCACCGAGCCCAAAGTATGCGTTGTACGGGTACAGTAGCGACTTGAACGGCAGATCGGCCTCATTCAGATTCTGTGCCTTCCAGGCCTGGCGAAATCGAATGTGCACAAACGAGATGGAGCCCCAGACGAGGAACGTCGACACGCCGCTGAGGTTGACAATGTAACCGTACGCCTTGCCGGCACCGGTGCTGTTGTTCATCATGGACAGGGCGCCGCAGAGGTTGGTGAAGAGAATAGCGGGAATGGGAACACCACGCTTGTTGGTCCAGCCGAGGATCTTGGGTGCCTTGCCGTCCTGGCCCATGTAGAGCAGCGTGCGCGAGCCAATGTAGATTGAAGCGTTACAGGCGCTCAAGCAAGTGACGCAGATGAAGGCATTGATCAGGTGCACGCCACCCTGCCAGCCAGCATTCTGAATGGCGACCGTCATTGGGCTCTGCAGGGCCTTGGCATTGGCGTTGACGAGCATGTCCGAGTTGGCAGGGCAGGTGAGACCGAAAAAGATGGCCGAGCCCATGTAAATGAAGATGATGCGCCAGAAGACCTGGCGAATGGCGAGGGGCACGGCACGGCCAGGGTTCTTGGTCTCCGTGGCGGCCACGGCAACAGATTCAACGCCGGCGTAGAATGTCGAGCAGAAGACGAAAACAGTGGCCATGCCTCGGAAGCCATTGTTGTTCCATGGGCCGGGGTCGACCCAGTAGCGGTTGCCGAGGGCCTCCTGGCCGGGGATTCCACCGGAGACGTAGACGAGCGAGAAGAAGAAGTAAGCGACGAGGCCGATGAGCTTCAGCAGGGCGAGCCAGAACTCGGATTCGCCGAAGGATTCAACACCAAGCAATTGAAAGCCGGTAAAGGCAAACTGGTCGTATTAGCAAGACTGGCAGCGGTAGTGTGTTGACGGCTTTACGCACCCAGAACAGCAAGAAGTATCCCCAAAGAGGCACCTTGTCGCTCCAATAGACAAAGATGCTACACAGCGCATTGTACTCGTTGGCGAGCACGCAGAACCAGATGATGTAGTAGTTCCAGCCGATCGCGACACCAAAGGCCTTATCGACAAAGCGATCGCCCAGGGCCGTGAAAGCGCCGCCTGAGGGGTACAACGTCGTCATCTCGCCAAGACTCTGCATGATGCTGAAGGCCACGATGCCAATGACGCCAAAGCCAATGATCAGTGAAGCAGGACCACCGTTGGCGAGAGCACCGCCTGAACCGACGAGAAGGCCAGGCCCGATGATGCCAGCAAGGGCCATCATGCTGAGGTGGCGCGTCTTCAGCCCGCGCTTGACGCCAGACTTGGGGTCGATGGCGTTGAAGTCATCGGAGCTGCTGTCTGTCTTGTCGGGGTGCGATTCGAGGGTGTGGTCTTCCACGGTAGGCGAAATGCCGTGGCCGTGGCGGGCGCGTTCCTGTTCGGAAACGCCAAGGGCGGCGGCGGCGGCGGCCGGGCCATCAGAAGCCGGCAGCGGCGTCGGGTGGTCATGCTGGACATGGTAGTCCTTGCCGTCGTCATGGTGGGCCATGCTGGGCGATTGTCTCACGAAGCAGTCGTGGGGAATCAGTTAGGAATGCAAGGGCAAGGCTTGCGAGGGAAAGAGGAGGAGAAGAAAAGCTCGCAGACAGGGTGATCAGCAGTGAAGAAGGGATCCTGATTTTTAAATGTCGAGCTAGTATCTCGGTGCGAATGCGGCCTGGGCTGGCTGGCCTTGCGTCTTCGTCGGTACTTGGCGTGCCAGGGAGCCCAGGAGATCTTCTCCCACCGTTCCCCTACTTAGTGCAGGGCAGAGGCTGCAACACCCGCCACCGAAGCCGGCGCTACGGCTGACTAGCCGCGTGATTTCTGGAGACAGTTCGAAGACGCTGTGCCTGCCGTGTCTGGATGGGTGTCTGAGAAGACGAGTGGAGATTTGGCGGGGGGTCAAGCTCAATCCCAAGCGTAGAGCAATACGCTGGGTGGCGATGGCGTGCTCAGGAATGTGCATCCCAGGCTAGTAAGGTTCGGATCGCGTCATGGGCGATGGCCGCGGGAGGCCCGAGTTCATTGGCCGTTGCCGGGACCCAGACCAGTGCCATGGTCAAGGACATGCAGATTCGGCTTGTCTTGCATCTTCTGCATCTTCTGCTCGCGTGGGGAGACTCAGCCAGGCAACGCTGAGGCCTGTTCCCGCGTGGGGTTTCGGTGACAAAGCGGGCTCGTGGCGTCGACACGAAGGGTCCTGTGAGCCGATAAAACGTGCCTTGTGTGCTGAACGCAAGACCACTGATGGGTTTGGTCGTCACCGTCTGGCAGGTCTGTGGCTGAGGGTGCCATCGTATTGGGACCCAAGGCTGAAGTTAGCTTGAATTTGCCATAACGCCAGCATCTGACGCAGACAAGCTAGCAGTGCGCTGCTGGGCGTTTGACGTCTGTTGCTGTGCAGATGGTAACCCTAGAGTCTCTCTCCCTTGTCGGTCATGTGCGGGGATGGATCGAAGCTGTGCATCGCTAACAAGTTGACCGCCTAACATGGCATCAAAATTGGTCATTGGGTCGTGGGGTATCATTTCGAGGTTTCAATATTGAGGGGCACAGAACGTCCTGATGTTCAGGCGCACGCCGGATTCGGCTTCGATGAAAGCGATGAGCATGTGATGGTGTTGTAGGATGGATTGGAATGTACAGCAAGCAAGCAGGCACAGACGCGGAGTCGGAGGGGACGTGGTATGGTGGCTGGTGGCTGGTGGCTGGCAGTGGATGGCTAGATAAGGCTGATGTGCAATGGAAACACACAAAGATGGTGGGTGCGCACAAGCTTGCCAGGTTTTGCCAGCTGCCCCATCGCCGGCCAGCCGGATCCACCTGCTCCGGCCGGCCGGCCGGTCAAGTATGGTGCACGAGCCGGTCCCGCTTCCGGATATGGTCTACCACAATGCGGACCATATCTACGTGATTGTAGTAAAGAGTGTTGAGATTGTGACTGTGTTTAATTCACCCCCAAGCCTTTGCAGACGAACACAACTTCTCTTTCTACGAATCGCAAATCTCACCAGTGCTCAGACGCCTCTCACCCGGACCGATAACTGGGAGGCCCGCCAGTGCTCCTTCGTCCCAGCTCCACCTCAGTAGCACCCTCTTGTCCCTGCTCCAGCTTCGCATGATCCTGTTCTATCCTTCTCCTCATCTTGCGTGTCCCGCAGCACCAGATCGTGCTCAACAGCCCCGTGGCGATCCACAGAAGCATGTTGATGAGATTGAGCCAGACGGCCACCTTCATCCTGCCTGACGCCGGCGGGAGCCCGTCCTGTTCTTTGTATTGCCCTTCAAGATAGAGCGTTCCGAAAACACCAGTGATGGCCGCCCAGAAAACAGCAATGACCCAGTCCCAGACGCACCAGCCGTAGCGCGTCACCGTGATGAAGAGATGCAGGAGCACCGTCATCATGGAGAGCACTGCGGCCACGATGGCAAAGATCCACTGCGAGGTGCGAGTCGATGAATCGTCTCGCGTATCGATGCCGTAAAGAATGGCGATGATGAGTGCGAGAAGGAATTGCAAGGCACGGAGGATGGTGCGGGCGATCAGGCCGCCGGCGCCGCCTTTGTGCCAGTACCCGTCGTGCATTCTGTTTCCGCCTTGGTGTTTGCGCTGTCGATACTCTCGAGTATGTTGATGTGTTTTCTTCGTCGAGCTATTCTGATCCCAATGCGGCGAACTGTGTTCGATGTGCGTTCCGGCTGTTGGATCAGAGTTTGGTGCTGGAAAGAATTGCGAAGCCGTCGCACATGTTCAAGTCGGACGCAAGCGATGGAGATGATTCTAGGGTTGGTCTTGAGAGTGAAGTCGCAAAACAAACTGCCGAACAAGAACAGGGGACCTCCTCTTTACATACGCTCATGAACCCTTCCTCGGACGGGGTTGCCGACGCCATATGTCGATCCCGTCGAACCAGATTCCGTACCCATGCTTCTGGCATTGATTCAGCGTTTCTTCGAAATGGAGCAACAATTTGTGGAGACCCAAACCCGATCAAATGCGCAAAATCACTGATTAGCTGAGCTCTCTCTCTGGGAACCCGATGGCGCCGGTCGCCGAGTCAGTTCCAGACGGGGCCAGGCCCCAGAGCGGCTTCAGCGGGCTGTGTTCTGGTATCGTGCTTCACGATTTGCGTATTCTACCCGTAAATTCGGACACGCAGCGTGACGGCACCGCCAACGACTCGAACATCGGAACGCCCTTCGCTACATTCATGCGAACTGTTACAGATCTAGAGGGCCGTGCAGGGTTGCGCGTCCGGCCGAAGACCGGGGAAGAGCAATTGATTCGCGTCTTGAAATGACGTCCGACTCGCGATCTAAGCCTTATAGGCAGTCGTGATCCCGAATCTGGTCAACGGACAAGTTCTAGTCATTTTGATTTTCTCATCGGGTCCTGTATCATTTGACTTTTGGCTCCCTGGGGTAAAATCTTGTGCCAAAATCCTCTGCATCGAGGACATGCTTGACGACGAAACTGGTCTTTGGATTTAACGCTCCATCGCCAGCATGAAAGGTTCGAAGACAAACATGAAAGATGATGGTTTTGACACCCTTTCGCTGAGTCCGACACTCCAGGACCATGAAACCAACGGTAGGCTGTCACATTTACTCGTTACACGTCGCTTTGAACCGAACAAAAAGCTGAGCAGCCAGGCGACGGCCGTGTCGACATCGACATCGACCCGCGGGCCTCCAAGCAGCTGGACAAGATCCTCACGTCACAGACCCCTCACGACTCAGCGAATGCCAGGCCTTTGCGACCCTTGAGCCCAACGTCCACTCCGCCCCCCAATCTCAATATTCTCATCCAGGTCATCGGCAGCCGCGGCGACATCCAGCCCTTTGCAGCCTTCGGCCACGAGCTCCAGAAGCATGGCCATCGTGTCCGCCTTGCCACGCACGACACATTCCGCACGTTTGTACAGTCTGCCGGTCTCGAGTTCTTCCCTGTCGGCGGTGACCCCTCGGAACTGATGGCCTACATGGTCAAGAACCCAGGCCTGATACCGAGCATGGGCAGCATACGCGCGGGGGACATTCAGTCGAAGCGAAAAATGGTAGCCGAGATGCTCGACGGGTTTTGGCGGAGCTGCATTGATGCTGATCCGGAAACGGGGGCGCCATTCGTGGCAGACGCCATTGTGGCCAACCCACCAGGGTTTGCGCATGTCCATTGCGCGCAGGCGTTGGGTGTGCCATTGCACGTCATGTTCACGATGCCGTGGACGAGCACGAGGGCGTTCCCGCACCCGCTAGCCAACCTGAAGGGCAAAGACGAGGGGCCATCCGCTGGAAAGTACTTGTCGTATGGCATTGTCGAGTTTATGACTTGGAAAGGGTGAATATGACGATAGTACTAGAGGGACCATGGGAAAGCTAACGAATGGTCACAGACTCGGCGACATCGTCAACAGATGGCGCGAGGATACACTGTGCCTGGAGCCGATCGCAACGAGTGAAGGCTGCAGACTTCTCGAAAGCCTCGCCATCCCCTTTGCCTACTTCTTCTCACCGGCGCTGGTGCCGAGACCAGTCGACTGGGGCTCCAACATTGACATCTGCGGCTTTGTCTTCCGCGACGCCCCGAAATATGACCCCCCAGCCGCGCTGCGCAAGTTCCTTGATGCTGGGTCTCGACCCGTATATATTGGCTTTGGCAGCATTGTTGTCGACGACGCCGATCGCATCGCCACAATCATCCACGAGGCAGTCCGCCTTCTCGGCATACGCGCCATCATATCCAGCGGCTGGACAAACCTCGCCAGCGAGACGGATGCGGAGCCAAGTCCCGATATCTTCCACATTGGCGAATGCCCGCACGAGTGGCTCTTTCAACAGGTCGCAGCTGTTGTACACCATGGTGGCGCGGGCACCACGGCCTGCGGGTTGGGCTACGGCAAGCCGACAATCGTCGTGCCCTTTTTCGGCGAGTATGTGACATGTCTTCCCTCCCCAAACGCCCGCCCTGAGACAGGCCAACCCACGACTGACATTTCAGCCAACCATTCTGGGGCCACATGATCGCCGAAGCAGGCGCCGGACCACCGCCCATCCCCTACGCGGCGCTCACCTCCCGCAAGCTCGCCGACGGTCTCTCGTACGCGCTGAGCCCACAGGCTCTAGCGGCGGCACTTGAGATTGCAAACACCATGTCCGTCGAGCAGGGCGCGCGCGTCGCTGTCGAGGCGTTTCACAAGCATCTTCCGCGCGCGGGACTGCGGTGCGAGCTGTTTCCGCAGGAGACGGCGGCGTGGTCGTACAAGGGGGAGCACCGCGCCGTGCATCTGTCGAAGAGGGCTGTGGCAATTCTCACGGCCCGGGGCGTGCTTGAAGAGAAGAAGCTGAAGCTGTGAGCATTGTTCCCATCGATTTGCCTGCCTTTACAATATGGTATGCTAACCTGCACACCTGCACAGACACGAGACCAAGCCGTTCACAATCGACATCCAGCGCTGGGACCCCATCACCGCCATCTCGGCTGCCTCGGTTTCGACCCTCGCAGACATGGGCCAGGCCACGGCCCGTCTCGTCTACGAGCCCATCTCGGAAGCCCGTCAGTCAAGCACAAGTCGGCAGCACTCGCCTGCCCGTGGCTCGGGCGCCTCATCTCCGGCGGTCGAAAAGGCGTCGCCTTCTGTGGCAGTGGCAACCTCAGCACGTGCCGGCAGGATTGTCACGAGCGTCGCAAAGGGCGTTCTGGTGAGCATACCGCTCGCCGCGACGGAGGGGCTGCGCGCCGTGCCGCGCCTCTACGGGGAGGACGTCAAGAGGCACGCCGACGTGCGTGACTTTAAGAGCGGGGCCGCTGTTGCGGGCCAGGAGTTTCGGAACGGGATAGCCGGCGCGGCGATGGACATTGTGACGTATACCTATCGGGGGAAGAGGGACGAAGGCCCGATGGGGGTCGCGAAGGGGTTGGCAAAGGGCGTTGTGAGCTTGGCCACCAAGACGGGGGCCGCTGTCGGCGGATTGGTCGCATATCCAGTGCAAGGGGCATATCGTGGAATCAGGGCGGCAGTGAGGTCGACAGCGAGAGGAAGCATCGAGAGCGCAAAGAGGGAGGAAGGGGTTTGGCTCATACGGCAAGGCGGCGAGTCCTCCAAGGTTGACTCAGTGGTTGTTGCAGATTTCGAGTCACTCAAGCGGTCACGAGACCAATAGGAGTATCACTTACATCAATATGAATGCAAATGAAGAAGCATCTAGACAAAAGTAATGTGCAGACGGAAGACTACGATGAGAGAGACAATGGAGACAAGAGAGCGGAGACGAAACATAAAAAATTTGAAGATGCAGTGGATGCGTCAGGAATTGAGCCCAACGGGGGGCTCGAACCCCCAACCTTGAGATTAA